AATAACGAATAAACCGAACTGGGCTACTACTTCCTTATCACGCTTCACGACATAATTATAAAATAAAAATACTTTCTATCAAAAACATATTTGTTGACCAAAAGACATGTCTGGAATTCCGCCGGATTCTTGGCAACCCCCCACAGTATCGCTGGACACAACGTAAGTCGCAATATAGACATTAGTAATAGATTTGTGAATGAATAAGCCACGTTTTGATAACACATAAAAAGCTGTGATCATTACTTTAATTGTTTCATTATTTATAGATGTAGAAAACGCTAAGCTTTGCTGCATGTTTGTATTAAAAAAGTTACTGATCACGTTGATCAGTTGTACTGGTTAGAATAGATTGTTTGTGGTTCTCGACTCATTCGGTTCTTTCGAACCGTTTCAAAAATCACGTTCACTGATTCTTTTACGTTGTAACGTAATTACGTCGTCCCATTTTTATTTTATTATATAAAACGATTGTAAATTTTAAGTTTATTTTAACTTTTAAGTCTCTGAAAGATGTTGCATCCTCTTATATACAGAAGCAAGATGATGGAGTGTGTTGGTAATTTCTATCTGCATGGCAAATAGGCTACTACATTCACAAACAAAAATTTGCTAAATGTATACCAAAATGTTACTTACTTTTACTAGAAATTGAGTCACTGAAAGAGTCCTTAATGCTTATTTAAAGCATTAAGCATTTTCTTTCCAGAATGGTAATATTTAAAAGTAATCTTTAATTTTTACTTTTATCAGCCGCCTGTTTCAATCTGTTGTACCTTATACTGATTCCTTAAAAAAAATGCAGCTACTTGAGGAAAAACCAACTGTTTCTCACACGAATCTGACACTAGTAGACATTAACCTTTACCAGCATTCATATTACGACTAACCATCACTTTACACTGTCTTTCCAGGATGGGAACTATCGTGCTAGAACTGTACTGGAATCATGCGCCAAAAACATGCAAGAATTTTGCAGAGTTGGGCAGAAGAGGATATTACAACAACACCAAGTTCCACCGCATCATCAAAGACTTCATGGTTCAAGGAGGTGATCCAACAGGGACAGGTGAGGATGAAAACAAAACTCATTCAACAGTCCCTTTAGATATTTCATTTGACAATTCCATAAGATGCATCACAGTACGCTGATTTAAGCTGCTGTTTGTTGTTAAAGAAATCAAATTCTACATACATGGAGGATGAAATAAAGGTGGTGAATATGTTTTACCAAGCAAAACCATCTACTTTTGTCTTCAGTGCAGTGGACTTTATTTTTAATTTATTGTAATGGTTTGTTTAGTTTGTACAATTTATTTATATAAAAATTTATTTTATATTTGCAGGTCGTGGTGGTGCATCTATATATGGCAAGCAGTTTGAAGACGAATTGCATCCAGAGTTAAAATTTACAGGTGAGTAATATAATGCATGAGTAGATTTAATAGTATTTTAAATAGCACTGCTATTTACAAAACTATAAAAAGTTGGTAAGCTGCTCAGTAGATCCCATGGAGAATAAGTAGAATAAATTGCTAGGGAAATATTTTGTCAGTTCCCAAAGCTACAGCATAATTTTACAAAAAAATTTCTAGGTTACAGCTTAATTTTTTATATTACAAATCAGCAAGTGCTTGATTTATTTATATATTTTGTAGGTGCTGGAATTCTCGCAATGGCTAATGCAGGGCCAGATACAAACGGAAGCCAGTATTTCCTCACGCTGGCTCCCACACAGTGGCTGGATGGGAAACACACTATATTTGGAC